ATTCCGTTCTGAAACGGATACTGAGAGCTCTTTGCTACGAGCACAAATGCGACTGGGAAGCGTGTATTCCTCCCACTATGTTCGCTTTGAGATCAGCTCCTCATGAGAGCACTGATCTTAGCCATGCAGAGCTTGTGTATGGCAGGAGTTTGCGAACACCATTGCGAATGCTACGTGAGTCCTGGGAGGGATTCGATGAGGACCCTAATGTAGTTGCGTATGTTCCAGACCTCCTTCAGAGGCTTGAAATAACGAAAGATCTTGTGGAAAGCCACATGAAGGCTGCACAATGTTGTCGAAGGAGTACTACGACAAATTGGCGAAGAATCGTACCTCTGAAGTAGGTAGTTTGGTAATGCTTCTGCAGCCGTTCAAAAAGAGCAAGCTTGTGGTTCATTGGCAAGGGCCCGCCAAATTAATATCGAAGCTTTCTGATTCCAATTATGAACAGAAATTAGGAAGGCGGCCGCACAAAATTTACCACAGTAACTTGATGAAACCATACAATCAACGTCAAGCGGTCGTAACCCTTTTTTTGAACGCTTCAGAGGAAGAGGGAGCAGAAACTTTGATCTCTAGTGATGTAATCGAAAGGGAATCAGAGGTAATCTTGCAGCAGTCAAACCTATAGAGCCTAGATTAAGTGAAGTCCAGAAGGAGGACCCGAGAATTCTTTTCGAGTTTAAAGACGTGTTTTTGGACCGTCCCCGAACCACGACGGTGATTGAACACGATATTGAGCTAACTTGTGAGGAGCCAATCCGTAGCAAGCCGTATCGATGTTCCCCTGCGCAAAAGAAGATCATGAAAGAGATCGATAAAATGCTGCAGTTGGGAGTCATAGTACCGGGCGAGAGTGACTATACATCCCCTCTAATATCCGTCGAAGTGCCGGAAAAAGATTCGAGGCCGTGCATCGAATATCGGCGTCTTAACGACATAACTCCAGACCAAACTTACCCGACACCAAACCTAGAGGACAGGGTAAAAACTGTCACAGTCTTGCAGTATTTCCCCGTCAGACCTCGTGCGAGGGTATTGGCAAGTTGCCCTTACGGAGTGCGCTAGCCGCTATGCCACATACGTTTCTCCTTTCGGAACGTATCGTCCACGTAATCTGAACTTTGGATTGAAAAATGCGCCCTTTTGTTTTTCAGGCTTAATGGACCGCGTTCTTAAAGGCCTCTCTGAGTTCGCTCTGCCGTATTTTGACGATGTCGCCATCTTCTCAAGCAACCGGGAAGAACAAGTCGAACATTTACGCGTCGTGCTGAACAGGTTGAAAGAAGCTGGTCTTACCGTGAAACCTAGTAAATGGCACTATCCCGTTAAATATCGCAAAAGCGTCGACGCGGACCACCGAGCACTGAGGGACAAAAAGAAGAGCGCTGTGGCACGGGCACGAGGCGCGCTCACAGTGTTCGGGGCAGTGCGTGCAATTCTGAGCTCAAATGAGCAAGACATTCTGCCGGGCGAGACGCGTGCGTGTGCAGGGAGGACCACGGAGCCGGGTGAGGTCCAGGGTGACCGCGAATCCAGGTACCAGGGGAGTTGCTGTCTGAATCGAGGATCGCCGAGCGGTGCCGAGCCGTACCGAGCGACGTGCCAGACTCGGACGTGGGCCGCGATCTCATGAGCTGTGCACCCTAGGGTACCTGGCGGTGCCCTGGCCAAGGCGAGGAACGCCGGTGACTGAGCTGCCACACTGCAGCTATGGCGAGCAGCATTTCAGCAAGACACAGACAGTGCTGTGCTGGCTAGAATCCGTACGTGGAACTGCTATGCGCGGGCGGTGATCAAGAGCTCGGAAACGAGGTCTGAGGTCGCGCTGCTCCAGGCATCTCCCAGACGACGCCACCGCTGCTCCAGAGTCGTGAGACTACGGGTCTTTCCTTCATGAGCCGTGGTGGCCGTCCCGACAGCGTCCACATCACCAATTTTTCCTATCCTTTCTTTTGTATATGAACGTTTGCACACGTCTCCCTGTCTGTTTCCTACGCCGCTGCACAGTAGTGGAAGTGCTCGAACCGTCCTAAACATCAGTCACGTAGGGTGCGGCGAGGTGTCGTACCTGGGACACGTTGTGGGGCGTGGCCATCGTAGACCTTCAGAAATTACCGTAGCCGCCCTCGTGAACTATCCACGACCAACCACAAAATCTGAGATAAGGGCATTCTTGTGCCTAGCTGGATACTATCAGCATTACGTGCAATACTACTCTGGCATTGCCAGCACTCTGATGCACTTCGAAAGTCCGAGCCGGTTAAAGTAGTATGGAACTTAAAAAAATAGAATGCGTTTTGCAAGCTGAAACAGGCTCTAAGCGAAAAGCACGTTCTCATGGCACCCGATTTCTCTAAGGAATTTGTCATTCAATGCTACGCGAGTTATGGCGGTATGAAAGTTATATTGTACCAGGAAGACAGTGCTGGTAACGAAAGGCCAGTTTTGTATTTAAGTCGAAAACTCAGCTGCAGGGAAGAGGCGTACAGTACCTCTGAAAAGGAATGCGCTTGCCTCGTGTGGGCCATTCAAAAGCTAGCCTGTTATGTCTCCGGTTCGAGGTTTGTGGTCGTAACAGACCTCTGTCCGTTAACCTGGTTAAATAACATGTCGTCTAAAAATGGCCGGTTACTGAGGTGGAGCACGGTACTCCAACAGCACAACTTTGACGTTCGCTACAAAAAAAGGAAAGCTGAATGCTAATGCCGACGCATTGAGCCGTGCGTTTTAGTTAGTACCTTTTTCACCTTTCGGTTTCTCGCTGGCCATTCAGGGCAAAATTTTGTCCTCATCACGGCCTTAGCTGAGCGCTTTAGTCTAGAGCGATTTCAACGGGCCAACTTTATGTTGTATTATATTTCATTACGTTGTTGTACATGTAAAAATGTGAGTTCTTGTTTTAAGAGTCCTGTGTCCCACATGTGCCTCTTGATGTAGAGGGAACGAAATTTCGATAGACACGCAGCTAGGTATATGTTGTACTATACTTTGTCTGGTGTTCTGTCGGGTGACTGAGGGCACTAGCTTGTGTCGTGTGTTGTCGAACCATTCTTGACAAGTTGCAGAACCATCGACAAGTGCTGAGACCAAAAATCATCACAAGAGACGAGTGAAGCTGGCCGCAAGTTGTGGCGACAAGCCAGTGGAACTGGGATCCGTCCTCAAGAATGGGATGTGTTCACGAAACGGAGCCTAGAGCTACATTCTCCCCATGGCCCTGGAGCTACATTCTCCCCATGGCCCTGGAATGAGCGCGCCCGACATCCAAGCCACGTGGAAGCAGCTCGTCATTTCGGCGCATTGTCTGGCGGCGGGGGTGCTGTTATGCCTGCGAGTCCACACCGAACGTCAATGCCTCTGCAAAGGCAATCTGTGTCAAGGCTAGCGGTCAAACCCGCCTGACGTGATCAACTCAATGACGTCATCAAGTAGCGGCGCCGGTCTGTCACCCACGCAGCGCGAGCTCCCTCAGCTCGCGAGCCCGTTGAAGATATCGGCGCCTTCCAGTCTGACGAGTCTTACGCAATGCATGGTGGCGTCACTCGTCCTTGAGTGCAACCACGCGCAGCGGCTCCGGATTTGTTGAGCATGACGCGGCCCAGCGGCGGGCCCCATTGGAGGATTGCGACATAACGGCCAGCGGCACTTCTGGTTGGACGTTTGGTGACTCAAAAAATCCACCCGGTGCGTATAAAAAAGCCCTGCGACGTGTCGCCAGGAGTAGACCTATGTGTCAGGGAAGCCTCTCGTTGCTTCGAGCCCCATTCGCAGTCGGCGCACGCGGTGTCCTTGGCAGTGGCGAGTTTCGTGGCGCCCTTCGTAACCTCGCCGGCGGTGCGCTTCGTAACAGAAAGAGAAACCGACGGATGCCTGCGAGAGAGAACATCTCAGCTCTCCGAGTCTCTAAGTTGTCGGCCCCAGTGCCACATATGTAACGCCTCTATTTCTATGCTGCACATAAACCTTGCCTTAACTCACCGTCATCTCATCCGCTCGTCTATCAGCTCTGCGCAGAATAAGTCGCGGGCTGAGTAACACACGCTACCAAACGGCTGGTGACCTTGGCGGTGGAGTTCGGAGCAGTGGCACCTTCGGGACCAGGTTGGCGTCTCGCCTTCGTAACAGTGCCCTGCGCACTCCAGCGGCAGCTGGCAGCGTGTTCAAGCGAGAGCGAGAGCATCCACGCTCTCCTTTTGCGTCAACTGGTGGCGAGCAAAACAACAATTCGCTGCGGATTAGAAACCGGCGGCAAGATGCGAACCCCACCCCTTTTAAGGCGATTACGTGAGAGCTGGTAATCGCCTTAAAGGGGGAGGGGTTGCAAGCTTGCCGTTCTATATCAGCAACGAATGGTTGTTTTGCTCGCCGCGAGATGACGCGGAAAGAGACGGGTTGCTATCGCTCCCGCTTGAACGCGCTGCCAGCAGCCACCGGAGTGTGCAGGCCAGGCGTCGCCGTGTTCCCTCTTATAAAAATCGACACTGTACAGTTTGCTGGGGTCTCCACACGTTGAACGATTGACTTAGTTTAGGAGTAGTAACAGTTGCGTGGAATGTTTAATTTAAAAGTTGGTAGACAAATCCGCGATGATCAATAGTTGGGTACCTGTGCAGTGTGGGTTGATCACTTGCACAGAAAAGAACTGACTCGAGATTTGAACTTTCTAATTACGCAACATGTACACCTGGAGTCCATTGGTTCAAGGCATGTAATCACAAACCTGTGAATGATTTCAAATTGGGGCACTGGCAGTGATTAGTCAACTTTATGTCCTTATACAGTTCCTGTTTTAAGTACTTTAAGTTCACTACCAGAGTATTTCAAAATCTATCAAGGACTCTGCTATAGGATTACAGCTTTGAAAAATAATCACAATTTTTCTAGTGGTGTCTGGCTTTAGTGCTACTTGCACCAATTAAACTTAATCACCATCTTAATTATCTACAGGTGAATCTTGGCCCCAGTAAACGCATCTGCACTTTTTTCTTTCTCAACAGTTGAACCGAATCTTCGGGGAAGAATATGCTTCTTTTGATCACAGATTGCTTCTCTGTTGTTTGGAACAAACCGGCGAGGAGAAGTACTGTGCTAACAAAATGGTCTGTTTTTTTCTCTTTATTCTCTGTATTTCCGATCACCACTGCTCTCGTACTCTTTAATCAGACTACACTAAAGTCGAGAATCTTTTCATGACATGCCCGCCCAAGTTTACAATCCGGGTTTCCAGGTTTACAAATGGCAGTATACTTCACCTTGTCGCGCATAACACGGTCTTGCATTCGCCAACGTATCTTGTGGAGCTGATCACATGTCAAGCTGTACAATTCCGTTTCAAAACATACCATAAGCCAGTCTTTCAATTAAGATTAAATTCCACTGAAACTTTTGGTGTTTGCATTCAAGATTTTTTTGATCGCTGCTAACGCAGGTTTTTTGCTGACAACCCCCGATGCCGACACGGCATTTGTTGTGACAAGGGCTCTTGTCTTTTTTTAACGCTGTCATGTTAAAGCGACATGCTCTTCTCCAATAATTTCTAGTGTGTAGCAGTTCGGGGGCCCGGTTTGTCGACCATCAGTCGACCTCAAGTGGACAGTTTAAATCAAGTGGTCAATACAAGCCCAAAGCAAGGGTTGCAATGCTCAAAATAGAATTAAAAAAACTGTCTGAAAGAATACAAACGAAAGAAAGGGAATTGTTAGGACTCGTGTTGTTTGTTATGAACAATAATAATGAGAGCTGACAGATAACTATGCCAAGGAAAGTAGAGGGTTAATATTGGAAAGAACTGTTCTGTAAGCGGGAAAAAAGAAAAGTGATTGAAACGATAAATTGTCGTGGGCCGGGACCAAACGTGCGACCTGCTAGTAACGTGTTCGATTCTCTACCAAGTGTGCTACGAGGGCGGCTATTCCCCCATAGACTTCTAATAATATCCGCTATAACTTGTCTTTGTCTGTCAGTTTTCGTTGCAGTATAAGAAACATAAATAAGGAAGAATCGGAGTACTTACTTAAAATGGCTTAAAACACTTTTTCTGGGCTGCGCCAATGAGTATGCGATTTCTCCCATCACCAGCACTTCTCCAGCGCTAAACCCGAAAGAGGAAAACCTGATGAAACTTTGTGCAGACATGTATCTGAACTGCCGTAACGAGAAAAAAGTTATAAAGTTCATCGAGAAGCAGCGCGCATGTTGCACCCAGTTTCAAAACCTTCTTAACAAGATTTAACTCGTACCTATAGCATGCTTACAGCATTGACTTCATTGATGGTAAACTAAGCAACTGGAATTTACGTACTAGAGTTTATGGTTGCCCATGCTACGCACTTCCTCGGGTTTCCCGGTAATGAAGCTGCATTTAGTGCGGTATCCAGAACTGCACCAGTCGCTGCCCATGAGCGACTTTTTTCATGTAACGCCAAGTTAGGGAACCCTTTGTAGCTGTCACACGCTATTTTGCTGTATTGGTTCTTATGACTCGTCATGTTTAAAAAGCGTGGCAATAACCAATTGATTGGATACATGAGTCGCATTTGATGAAATTCTGCGGAAAGTATTCATAAGATTTGCAGAAATATTTTAATTAATGTAAGTGGTATATCCCATCACCCAGGAGTAGCCAGTGCTATTCAAAAGTGCCAACATCTCCTTAATATCATAAAATAAAGAAGTGGAGACTCGAATAAACCAAAGCCATTGCGGACACAGAAGCTTGCAAGAATTGCAGCACTGGAAAAAGAATATGCGGTTTTATTTATATTTTTCTGTCTACGAAAAAGTCTTCTTGTTGCCATTTCCATTAACTTATTTTCATAAATAACACTGCAGTGCGGAATGATGTTGAGTGTGCCGAGAGAACTGTGGAAGATGCAGTGTCCTTCCTGCAAAACTATTGCATGTACAAAGTGTGGAAACGAAGTAAGTACTATTTTTCTAATGTAAGTAGAATTTTTGAGAAAGAAAACTTCAGGCTTTTCTACGTGCCATCATCAATCCCTGCTATAGTTGTTCCGGTCAAGTGAAGGCCTTTTAATGCTTTTTTTTGTAAACTAATGGCTTCTGCGAGCGTGTTAAACTGCGTTTGAAGTGGGTCTATTTACTACTTTCCATTTCTATGTTGCATATACCCAGCGCAGCTTCACTAACCAAAAGCTCCGCTGGTCACGGGATATAATCTCGCGGCAGCGGCGGCTGCATTTCCGATGGAGGCGAAAACGCTTTAAGCCAGTGTGCTCAAATTTGGGTGCACGTTAAAGAACCCCAGGTGGTTGAACAAACTTCCAGAGCCCTCCACAACGGTGTCTCTCATAATCATATGGTCGCTTTGGGACGTTAAGTCCCACATATCAATGTTTAGTCAATCACTAACCAAAAGCTGGTAAAGGGATCATGAACCACATTATCCAAGTCATCATGGAATAACCGCAGAATCACAATTCATCGCCTGAGGAACAGATTGCCGTAAACATTTCTTGAATTTCTCATGAACGAGCTGAGTTGCAGGGATATGGCGCGCGCTGTAAGCGCCTCCTCTGTCCAGTCGTCCTGACCAGCGCTCTCGAGGTAGTGATGGCACGGCGAAGAGAAGTTACTTCAGCGCGCGTGATGAAATACGATCTCCCTCTCCCGCTGCAATTTTCGTGCTCCAGTGGCCTCGTGATGTTAGCAGTTTATGGAGCGCTGTGCCGGCACGTGGCAGCACCCCACCGACAATAAGTTCATCTGCCACAAATGCGACTCTTGATTTGTGTCAGCTCTTGGCAAGTAGCAAGCTGTCTGTTGTTTGACATCAAACAGCAGACTTATGCCATTGAGCTCGTTTTCGCATTGCCAAATTTACCTTGAAGTCATAGACAGCATGACGGCCACTTCGCTCGCTGCAGCGACCGGGTTTCGTTACTCGAGCATCTAACGTCACTATGACGTCACTATAAATTTTGACGCCACGAACTTTAGGGGCGGGAAAGTCGTACGGTAGACAACTGCTCACTTTTTCTCGCTTAATAAAGCTCTGGTAAGTAAAAGTGGCACGACTGTGATGGTAACACGATAATGCTCAATATGCTTTTTAATATTTCTTCAAGGTGCAAGGTCCCATGACCACACAATGACGTCATGGATGTTATGGGGTCACATTGTGTGACATATATCGAAATAGTATGGACGTCGATAAAGTCAATACGATCGCGCCCAGACATGACTCGGCACTAGTCTGCTACGTGTCCCGTCGCGTCCGGAACACTGCTTTCTCTTTCAGTGCACGTAGGCAGACTTAAATGCCTCCAACTTTTCAGTGGCGGAAGGAGCACGAGAACAGATCTTGTGATGATTTTATGAAATGGAAAAGTGAGAATGACCCAGATGACCCCGAATATAAACTTCAGGACCTGATAAGGAGAACTGCCATCAGTAAGTACCCGCCTTGACTGAAGCGTTGTTTATGTTGTATCACAGCTATTTGCTATTTTTTTCTTTGATTTAAAATTTTCCAATTCTCCTTCTATTAATTTTCTATACATCTTACCTGCATTTACAGAATAGGTCAGTATTTTTACGCTCCTTGAAAGTTTTGTATTGTACAGCCTTCTAACAGTCTCTGGGCGTTACCGGTCGTTTTTGTTAAGGACGGCTCCATTCGGTTCTGTGTGGACTATCGACGTTTAAACAAGATCACCCGTAAGGACGTTTACCCGTTACCACGAATAGACGACGCCCTTGACTGTTTACAGGGAGCAGAATACTTCGCTGGATTTACGGTCTGGATAGTGGCAAGTACCTATGGAAGCATCTGACCGACCGAAAACAGCATTTGTCACACCCGATGGATTATACGAATTTACCGTTATGCCTTTCGGCCTTTGTAACGCTCCAGCCGCTTTTGAAAGAATGATGGACACTATTTTACGACGCCTTAAGTGGAACACATGTTTATGCTACCTCGATGACGTAGTTGTCTTTTCCACTGATTTCGACACCCATTTAAATCGTCTCGAGCTCGTCCTCACAGGCCTCACCGACGCCGGTCTTCAACTCAACCTCAATAAGTGTCGTTTTCGTGCCCGGCAGCTCACCATTCTTGGCCACGTCGTATCGCGGGACGGCATACTTCTCGACCCCGCCAAGCTCCAAAGCCAAAAAACTTGAAGGAACTTAGAAGTTTTGTCGGCTTGTCGTCATACTTCCGACGATTTATTAGAAATTTTGCTTCCGTATGTGCGCCCCTTACGGACCTTCTTAGCGCCGACAAGGACCTTTCCACCTGGTCACCAGCATGCGACGATGCGTTCACCAAATTATGCTGCCTGCCAACTTCACCACCCATCCTCCGCCACTACGATCCTGCCGCTCCCACGGAGGTTCATACTGATGCCAGCGGTGTTGGACTTGGCGCTGTGCTCGTGCAACGAAAGGCAGGGCTTCATGACTATGTCGTCGCCTACGCAAGCCGAACTTTGACGAAAGCCGAAGCTAACTACTCCGTGACCGAGAGAGTGTGTTAAGCTATTATTTGGGCCCTTGGAAAATTTTGCCCTTACCTGTATGGTCACGCATTCGACGTTGTCACTGACCACCATGCCCTTTGTTGGCTATCCACACTTAAAGACCCTTCCGGACGACTTGCTCGCTGGGCGCTCAAGCTTCAGGAATACGACATCCGCGTTATTTACAGATCCGGTCGTAAGCACACGGACGCCGACGCCCTTTCTCGCTCAGCCATATTGGATGGTGTTTGCCTCTCTTCCCTTGAGCCTGCACTTGCGCCATCCGCCTTACGCAACATGACGGTGGAACAACGCCTGGATCAGTGGCCTCATAAGCATTCTTTCTAATCCTCTCACTCCTTCGGCGTCTCGCACTCTCCGGCGCCAGGCCAGCAACTTTTGCCTAAGGGATGATATTCTTTATCGACGCAACTACCTTTCTGATGGTCGCAAGTGTCTCCTTGTGATACCCTGCCATCTTCGAGCTGCTATCTGCGAAGCTTTTCACGCGGGCCCACAGTGCGCCCACGCAGGCCTCTTCAAGACATACGCTAGGCTTCGACTCAGATTTTATTGGCGTGGCATGTATAACTACGTGCGGGAATTCATTCGCTCGTGTGCTCAATGCCAAAGACAAAAGTTACTTCCCGGGCAGGTCTACCCGTCACAACCTCTTCCTTGTCGTAGTCGACCTTTTGAGCGCGTTGGCATTGACATTTACGGACCACTACCATCAACTCTAGCTGGTAATCGCTGGATTATTGCTGCGATAGACCATCTGACACGCTATGCCGAAACAGCCGCGCTGCCGACTGCCACAGCCCGTGATGTTGGAACGTTTCTGTTTCAACGTTTCATTTTGCGTCATGGTGCCCCTCGCGAGCTCTTAAGTGACCGAGGCCATGCCTTCCTTTCTGACGCCTTGAAGGCATTACTCAACGAATGCCGGATCGTACACCGCACAAGTACAGCGTACCACCCTCAAACGAATGGCATGACGGAGCGCTTCAACCGTACTCTCGGCAATATGCTGTCGATGTACGTCGCCTCTGATCATTCAAATTGGGACCAAGTTCTTCCGTTCGTCACCTGCGCGTGTAATACTGCCGTACAAGCTACTACTGGGTTTTCGCCATACTTTCCTCTGTACGGACGAGAACCTTCAAATACAGCAGACACTATTCTTCCATATAAACCTTATGAGTCCGAAAGTACAACTCTGTCCGAAGCTGCCCGACATGCTGAAGAATGCCGCCAGCTTGCCCGCTCTTTTTCTACCGAGGACCAGTGGCAGCAGCAATCCCGCCAGACTGGGGACCATTCGGCTCCAAACTTTCCACCTGGTTCATTGGTATGGCTTCGGGCACCTGCTACTGCACCTGGCCACTCCGCAAAACTTCTTCCCAAATACATCGGGCCATACCGCGTTGTAGAGAAAACGTCACTCGTCAACTATATCTTGGAGCCCATCATTCCATCCACAGACCTACGCTACCGCAGCCGCGACACTGTCCACGTCTCTCGCCTCCAGCCATATTATGACTCATTAGTCGTTTCTTCTCCCTAATCCGCCAGGATGGCGCCTTTTTGTGCGGAGGGCAATTGTAGTGAAGAGGAGCTTCAGCGGCATTTCTCGGCGCCTCAGGGGCATCGCCATCAGCATAAGCTCGTGCTTGCTGCGCTTGGCCGGACGCTGCTGACTGCTTCGCTTTCTGCGTTCTCCTTTGCAAATAAACCCCGTTACAATACATACATACATACATACATACATACATACATACATACATACATACATACATACATACATACATACATACATACATATATACATATATACATATATACATACATACGTACGTACGTACGTACGTACATACATACATACATACATACATACATACATACATACATACATACATACGTACGTACGTACATGCGTACGTACGTGCGTACATGCGTACGTACGTGCGTACATGCGTACATGCGTACATGCGTACATGCGTACATGCGTACATACGTACGTACATGCATACGTACATGCATACGTACATGCGTACGTACATGCGTACGTACATGCGTACATGCATACGTACATGCGTACGTACATACGTACGTACGTACATGCATACATACATGCGTACGTACATACGTACGTACGTACATGCATACATACATGCGTACGTACATACGTACGTACGTACATGCATACATACATGCGTACGTACATACGTACGTACGTACATACGTACGTACGTACATGCATACATACATGCATACATACATACGTACGTACGTACATGCATACATACATGCATACATACATACGTACGTACGTACATGCATACATACATGCATAACTAGTAAGCATACATACGTACGTACGTACATGCATACATACATACGTACGTACGTACATGCATACATACATACGTACGTACGTACGTACGTACATGCACGCATACGTACGTACGTACATGCACGCATACGTACGTACGTACATGCACGCATACGTACATACATATACTTGCATGCATGCATGGAGTGACCTCAGAATCACAATTCATCGCCTGTAGAACAGATTGCTATAAACATATTTTTGATTTCTCAAGAATGAGCTAGGTATCGGGGATTTGTCGAAGCGCTGCCTCTCTCTTATCGTCCCAACGAGCGCGCTATAGAAGCGACACAGGCACGGCCAAGGGAAGTTATTTCAGCGTGCAGATTGAAACGCGATCTTTCTCTCCCTAGTTGGTACTCCATGATATAAGATGGTATAGCGCACTAAAACCACACTCATGAGAGATAGACGAGCACTATGCGCACACGGTCACTCCCCTTCGATTTTGTGTTGGCGAGTGTCGGGGTTGGTGGGGTGGGAGGGTAGCACTTCTCTCAATTTTTCTTCTGTCAACAGCACTTCTATCAACATGCCGTCAGGGCCAATACGGAATTATAGCGGGGAGTGGCCTCAAGCAATACAGGTAATACGAAAAACTAGGGTTAATGAAATGGAAGAAAAATTTATAAAAAAACAAAAGGCACCTAGAGAGAGGGGGATGAATGAAGGAGAACAAGGATGCCCAGATACACAATGTTAGCTATGTGGCTTTTGCATAAGTGATGATCGGCAATGGTGGTCGTAGAGGAAGGCGGGTGATTCCCCACATTGGAAGTGCGTGGTACAAATGGTTGCAAGCAGGCGTCAGATTTGCCTGATGGAATTGCCACCCTTACTGATATGACCTGGTCTGTGTGATACATACGAAGGTGAATAGATAAGTTAGTTGCTTGGATGCGGCCGATGAAAACTTGTGAGAACGGGACAGACGATGCACTTTGCGATGGGATGACAAAGAAGTGAAGTCAGAATTTTATGCCACTTATACTCGCGGTTGTGTTATTGTTAGCAAGGTCACCAACCGAATATTGGTTTTCAGCAAAAAATTGGAGTAGAGGGTCTATTGTGCATGTAACTGTTTGGAAAAGGGACAGTAAAGGTATATTTCATTAAGAAATGAGCCCCAGAAGTTGCCGGCTATAAACCCCGTACACGGCCGGCTTTTGCCATTTTGCCATGGCGTGCGTGACGTCGTTTGCTTCGTGAAGTGTAGCCGTCGTCTTTAAGGTTTCAGCCACAGCAATTGGTTGAATTTGCAATGTCAGGCTGAACAACACTGAAATGGCTTCATTCTACGCGCAGTTGACCGCGAAACAAAATCGTTAGCTGTAACAGAGACGCTCTCAAAGCAATCGACTTGTTAAGTCACGGATTGCTTTTTGCACCATTATTGCCGAACTCTCGGGTCGCACACATGTTTATAATGATAGTCATTATTAATTAAGTGTGTGACTAAGTGCGCTGAAGTTTCCCAGATTGTTTGTTAACATCCAAGAATAAACCCAAATGACACAGATTGTGAGCAAAGATTGGGAGTCCTGGCCCCTTTGAAACCAGGGCAGTAATTCTGAGCCATTTTCAATGACTACCAAAGGTTTAGTTTACCTGGTTCCTAGATTCACATTTCCTACTCAAGTTTTTGTTGCTTAAGGTGTTGTGGCGCAGTACTTTTAATGAAGTTCTGTCGCGTAATACGTGCAAAGTTGCGGCGTAAATTATATAGCCTTTGGTTAACAGCACTTGTAACATGCATGATGTGGTTATCTCAAGTGAGATCGGATGTGATGGGAAGACCGAGGTACATGCAAGTTGTTACCGGATCCAAGGGAATGTCATTAATACACGTAGCTCACTAGTAGTTGTAGACAACACGCGTGAATTTAAAGTTTTTGTATTTGGTTCTATTTAGCACAAGTTGTACTATAGAAAAGTGGCGTTAAGGCCAGCTTTAAGAATACATGGTTACTTCCCCATTTCAAGTTATGTAGGTGTAAATTACACGGTCCTTTGGAAATAGAAAACGTTTAGATGAAACACGAGAATGTAAGTCGTTAATATGAATGAGAAATAGATAGATGTCCAAGTTCAGAGACTTCATGTGCTCGCGAATGAACTGGACTCAGATTTGAGGTTAATTCATTAGATGAAATAAACTGAGTGGTTCAGGAGAAAAAGTTCTAGACAGAAAATGATCTTAGGATCAAGGCTTAATAGATGCAGTTGATCGATTCGCTAACCATATGGCACACTTTATCGCACGCTTTCGAAAAAAGGTCTGCGAAACATATGCTATTGAAGAGTTGTCAAGTATTAGGTTGACACCACTGCTGACTCGAAGGCCGCAGGATCGAATCCCGGCTGTGGCGGCCTCCGGCAAAAATGCTAGAAGGCCGTGTACTTATATTTAGGTGAACTTTGAAGAGCCCAAGATGGCCAACATTCCCTCCCTGAAGCCCTTCAAAATGATGAGGGTGCTACGGCGTCCTTGAGTGTTTCGTAGGGCTGAAAACCCCCACACTTATGCAGTAGGTCGAGTATATGTGTGATCAATTTGTGTTTTATACTACATGAACAAGTTGCGCCACAGCCTTGTTGAAATTGAGAAGACAAAACAAGCAAATTACCCACTAAAAGTTGGCTATCTAAGAAAAAATTCGAATATTGTACGTGTGAAACTAAAATTTTCGAAAATTGTGCGTGGGGTGCTGGTTAATGAAATATGCCGATAGTTCAGCTGGGAATTCTCCGCACCTGATTTGTAGAGTGAAGTAGCCTTCCCCGCCTACTAAACTGCAGGCGGTGAACCTTTGTAAAGTCATAGCTTACTGCAAAATGTAAACCACAAATTTTAATTGTTGTACTTGATCACTTTGACTTCCTTGTGCAGTTAACATTTAAGGTGCTTGCATATTGTCACGAACAAATTGTACAGCGAGTGCCACGAAATAATGGCGCGCTATAGTTAGCTCATGAAGTTCATTGGGAGTGTGCTATCTTAACATCTCAGGTTGTAGTAATCGCATACTGTTAATGAAAAAAAAACATTTCAGAGGACAATCTTGTTAACAATTAACTTGGCAAAATTTAATGTTTCGGATCGTGGAAATGCAGCTTTAAACGTTCTGAACTAAGCCTTGCATTAAATTTTAGTCTTGAAGAACAACAGCGCTTTTAAAACACGGACGAGAACACACACGTGAATGGGCGCTGACTGCCGTTAAGGAGAAGAAAAAAGTTATTAGTTGTCAGTGACTGCCCTTCTGTGTTTTTCTAGCTCGCGTTTTAAGCCCGGTGTTGTTTTTTTCAATCTTTTTAAAGCTGGGTTCAAATGAAAGATCTCGCTTTCAAGCGGTTTAGTCTGTGTGAAGTAAACACCACAATGCCTTGCCAACTTGCCCAACAGAACATTTTGATCATTGTCTGGCTTCTTCAATGGTGAATCCTCGTAGCTGTTTGGTCCATTATCTTTCTAGTTTTTTGGTATAAATGATGACCTTTCCGCAGATGCACACTTGCGTATTTCTTTTATCTGTGCAATTTGATCCAATGGGAGCTTAGAAGAACTTTTTTTCTCGTAATAATTTCAGTGTGCCCTCATTGCAAGACGCAGTACTTCAAAGCCAAAGGTGGCTGTGCCCACTTCACGTGCAGGAACTGTAAGAGAGCGTTTTGCGAATGCTGCAAGACAGAATTCTGGAAGGGACAGGTCAGAGTGTGTTTACTCTTTGTGGCTATTGGTGAATGCAATTCTTAATCACAATAGTTCATCTATTCTTGTTTTATTCAGTGTTCTATCTATTACGAAATTAGAGTAACTAAATGCGTTACTCATTACACCAACAAAATAGGAACGCGTTACCGTCTTTCGTTACCAACAAAAAAATGTAACGCGTTACCTTACCGTTACCGAAAAAAGTAACGGACGTTATTTCTGCCATTATTCATAAATATTGAATATCAATCATTTTGTTTTTGCTGCAGAAAGCCTCATTAAGATTGTGAGAAAACTCACACTTATTTCTTACACACAACTTCTAAGCCAATTTATAAAATTACTCAAAATGTTGATTTAACAAGAACTGTTTCTACAAATGCACTGAACCTTAGCAATGTCATAGAGCTTATAGCTAGTTGCTACTATAGTTGGATGCGATGGCTTCGGACTCTAGCGCATGGTGACATATTTCTATCAACGTCATACCACGCACAATATGAGATTGAATCATCAAAGCTTTGACATGAATTCCCATAAACTAGCCCAGTTATCTGTTCTCTTAAAGATGAACGCTCTCCGCTAAGAATGCAAACAAGACTCTCAACAAATTTACGGCAATTTTTTCAGCGTGCTTATTCTGGGAAAATAAAATTTGTAGCAGTAAAGAATTGTTTTAATGGCTTAGTAGCCTGTGAATATATTTGTGAATAAGCATTTCTTGTTGATTTTAACCGGTTTACTTACCGCAAAAATTGGGAGCGTTTATGTTAAGGTCTCTAAGATCAGCCTCGCTTGCTCTGGAGCTTTTTAATTAGAAATGTTAATTAGAAAGAGACGGACTAAGTTCACTATGCCAACAAATAACATGCTCATCTTAAGGTCGGCAAGAATGTTGGGCATACCATCGGCAACTTTCATGGTACGAGACAGATTGGGGCGAAAAGCATTTCGGCAGCTTTCTACACCTCTGGAGCAGAAAAGGGTTTATAAGACCTTTTTCACGGAGAGAAGGATCTCTGTGTACTGTTGGGCGGAGCTACAAAAGCTGGCTTTTGTCTCTGTGCCAGTTCAGAATTGTAGTGCTGTCGAGCACAGGGTGGCAGCCGCAGCGAATCACAATGAAGAGTCGGAAAGCCGTTGGCCTTGTTCCGAACATTATTGTCGTGCTTTCGGAGACGGTCATTGAGAGACCTATCTGTCTGTCTGGTGGATGTGGCAGGCTCCACACGACAAAGGGACGCTGTAGACTACCTCTCTGCACACATTCCAAAAACCGATTACGATGCCTTACCTGGCATCCATCTTCGCGTCTCGTGACTGGGCATCTCCCCTGTAAGAGCGAGGCTAACTTGTGAGGGGCCGCAAAAAAAGCACATGGGCACCAACATGCCAGCCGATCTTTTTCAACTCGCTCGCTCGCTGGATTTCGTGCCGACCGGTTGTGCCCCCGCAATCTCCGACGACAGCGCAGCTCTGGCTGACTAGCTCGCTCGCCCTACGCCATTTCCTGACGCCGACAAGAGCTCTCGCTCATTGGTGCCCTGTCCTCGGACTTCTGCGACTGTGTCCATCTTTACTATCTTCTCCTTACTTCCATATGTGGCTGTCCTAGCTGCCTCTCTCTCTATCTCTGTACCTTTAATTACTCCCTATCCTGTTGTTAATTCCTCCTTACCCACGTCCCCGGCGCATAACTGTGGAGGTGCCCTCTATTAGGAGAGGCAGTAACGGAACTGCGCTTATTTCTTCCTTTTCCCCTGTCAAAAAGTCACTTATTTTTCTACCTGTGTGGCGAAAGCTGATGTTTGTAAGATATGACCGCGACTTTTTCGCGTCTGCCTCTGGTTTCCTGTACGCCCTTACCTGCAGCACGTCGTACGTGCCCATGAGCTCTGTAGATGCTTTCGGCCACAGCAACCAGCAACGTCTCAGGATAGCCAGCCTTTGTAAAGCGTGAGACAGACGTGCAATTTTCCGTGCCAATCGGCATGCGTTGTCGCATAGTGCGGCGTGCCGCATGCAACGCTTTGTGACACACGAGGGCGAAGGAGCTATCAGCAGCTGGCTCTACCCCATGCGGCGCCTCGGCATGCGTGGTCGGACGACTTTGTATCCTCCTAATGAATCTCAAAACAAACAACATTGCACAGCCACGCTTCGTTCCATAAAAATAATGAATAAGACGTCCTCGTGAATGACAAGCACGTCGCAACAGCAGAAACAGCTGATTATTCATGACTCCGACAGGTAGGCCTAGCATGGCGGGCGCCGGTAGTCTCCTGCGCCGTTCACACGCGAGCTCGTCATCGAGCGCTTGTTTTTTGACAACACTATTAAGCTTTGCACTCGTATGTAATGCGTTTGCATACGCTATATTTTCTCGATGCCATCGATGTGAAGAGCAAAGGTGGAAGCTAAGCGAGCCAGCGCAGAAACGCTGGTAGCCGTGTTTACCTGCCAAATCTCCTTTCATCACGGCTCACAATCTCCGGTCTCGCTTACGGTTTTAAAGCGGGCGTTGTCGTGCACAAATAGCACACTTCAAACATCAGTTTATTCAATTCGGAATAATATCACGCCACCAGGGAAATGTACTCGATACTTGTCATGCCGCCGCAGACGGCAATGTCAGCGAATCCACCCTCGCACCGCTCCTTCGGCTCGCTTCAACTGGCCGGATCACGGGTGATGGGAGCGGCTACAGGAAGATGGCGCCACTAGCGGCGTGGCGTCAATCGTCTGCTCGCGTTCTGATTGGCTGCTGCAATGCGGTTGTGTGATGCGGCGACAAAAATCTGGCTGGTTTGATGCTCGCCGCACTGGCTATGCGGCGGTGCGATGCAATGATGCGTCACAAAACGTCACGAAACGTCACCACTCCGGCAATCGAATCGTCGCACTGCACGCCGCATCGCACGGAAAATCGCACGTCTGTCTCGCGCTTAAGACAAGCCACAGTGTGGCGGGGAATGTGTGTGCTGAGAATCGGTGCCTGCTAAAGATACCCCATTTCCCTCCTAAATTCTTCAAACTAAATTGCGCTCACACTTTCTTTGTGAATGCCTGGTAGGCGACAGTGGTCTGACGCTGCAACAGAGGAATTCGTCGGGGCGAGTTGTGGGAATATGGCACCATCGGAATAAAATAGTTACGAGTAACATGGCACCTCACGTTACCGAAAAATGTTAACGGAAGTACGTTACCCGTTACAGTTCCTAAATTGTAACGGGTACGTTACTAAGTTACCGAAAAAAGTAACACGTTACCAGCAACGACGATACTTGTAACGAGTTACCGAAAACACTGGTTCTATTGAAGTGAGAGTGCACAGAGGGAATTTTGCACGTGCCTGTCATTTTGTATTCTAAAATCTGTAAAATCTTGCTTCAACAAAAAAAAGAAGTATGAGATGCACTCGTGAGCAGAATTGCATCAAATAAGCGAAGACAGTTAAAATAAGAAAAGATAGTTCATGATTCACCTATCAGAATTATTTAACGATTGCCTTAAGCCAGTTGACTGAAACATTGCATGATGCTGCAAATTGGCGGTCTTGCTACAGAATCTATCAAACAGCTCTACTTGCTAGCAACTGAACTCATATGAGTGCGATGAAAGAAAAAAAACCAATATTTTTGTAATTTTATGAAGCTAGGCCTCTGTGCACTGTACTGCAGGTGCATTCTCCTGTGAGACTTAATTCCTGTGGTTCGAGGTTCTGTGCTAAGATCTACCATTGTTCTTTATCAGCTAAGCTGTTGGTCAAACCATAAGATGGCAGTGGTGTTGCAAAAAACTGTCATGAACGGGGTGTATGCCGCAGATTTTGGGCAAAGTCCCACTACTCGCCACCTCAGGCGTGGCCTGTAATAACCCTGTGAGAGATGGAGTGCAGGGAGAGAAGAAAACGGAGCGAAAGATTATATATATATATATATATATATATATATATATATATATATATATATATATATATATATATATATACATACTTTTTGAGGAAACAATCTGCACGAGGTGTCATTTGAAGACGAGCGTCCTTAAAGATGATTAAGGGGCTATCCTTCCGGATATGCTGCAAGGGGTGGGAAAGAAAGTGAGAGTGAGGAGAGATGAGGTGCGAGAAGGAGCGAAAAAGGAGGGGAGAGAGTAAAGCGTAGCATGGAATAAGAAGCCCAGAAACAGAGGGATAGGCCAACGCAAGATAAAAGGAAATAGAGGAAGCAGACATCGCGACCTGAACCTGAGACGAGTGGTGACGGGCCCGTGCTTCGGTTAGCCAAGCCTTGCGCGACTTAGTGCCAACTTCCCGCATTTTGTGGAGCAGAGCTCTTTAAAAGGGAACACCGCCAATTTTTGGATATTCACCGATTTCAAAAAAGCTTTCAAGATAAGTTGTCTTTAATGCCCTGATGATATGTGCCAAGTCGCATAATCGTAAGTCGTTTAGTTTTTTGGGAAACGAATTTCAAAAATTGATAGCCAATTCATAAATCATGCCTTTACATGCGGGCCACCCTGTGTTCGTGACGTATCCGTATACTCGTCTAACCTACAGAGGAAGGAGTTGTTTCCTTCTTTCTTCGTGCGTTCCTTCATGGTCCACCCCCGTCTTACCGCACGCTGTTGCACTGCATCGTGCTTTCTACCGGGGCTGCTAAAATTAGGCACCTTCTTCCTCTTCTAACCACCACCACCACCACACTGTTTTTCGAGGCATCGACGACGAGACGTCACTTGTACACTTGTTCGGTTTGGTAGTGACATTGCGGGCTGTAAAAAAAAACGATGGTTGGAAAGCGGTGCTGCGCTGAAGGCTGCACGACATCTCATCTCTGTGGTATATATGACGTAGTCGTTAACCTGGAAGTAAACTTGCATTACTTGTCCTAAGAGAGTTTACAAAGAGCTCTAGAAATGCTACTCTTTGAACTTTCGCGGGCACTGTGCTTTGTGTTTAACACAGGCTTGCCGGTTTTTTTCATGAATTAAAAAAACGGTCTGTTATCGCTGACGGCATTTGTTTCTCGACAGGCGTGTGGCAACGAAGACTGTAAGGGTAGAGGCTTGCACGGCCATCATCCAAGGAATTGTTTCTACTACACCAGAGATTACCCGTGTGAAGATCTCCAAAAACTTCTCGAGGTATCTTTTTAAACAACTGTAAATATATTTGAATTGACATGCATTTACGTGATTATCGAGAATAAAGTGAATTCATTGAATCTTGGAATACAAAATTAATGAGGCATTATTTGTTACTTTGCAGTCACAGTACTAGCTTCAAATAATAAGGCTGAATGTGTATAACAGTCAGCAATGTCGTTAACCATGCCCAATTCTATTCCTGTTGAGATTGTCTTGAAGCCACTAGCCTGCGGTTGTTGGTGCAGGTCGGACGCCTGATCGTATCACGTTTTTTACCTTATAGGGACGCTAAAGTGAAACAATGAATAATAGGCTGTGAAAAGCCGCATTGTCGTTAATATCGCTTCCATAAGTTTATTACTGGAAGAATAGGTGCCAGTTTCATTCTAAAAAAATTCGCGCTGAAAACCAAGCACTCCACAGTGGGAAAGCATTGAGAATTTAAAGTTCTTCCAGTTGAGAATCAATGTACATCCTGGCAAACCCAACTCGAATGAGCTAGCTCATGACAAAACGGGAGGTCTCGCATTTCGTGATGGTGCTGATATGCTAGACAATGTGGGTTATGAGAATCACTCCAACCCATTCCTCCCTTTTCACGACATAGTGAAACACTATCAGCTTGGGCACATAAAATTCTTACACCCAAAGCTGACTAGACCTCAATATTCCGCTCTGAGAATGTTACAAACGGGATCGTTGCCATCGAAAGGACAGTTAAGTCGTTTTGCTCCGAACACCGACCCACACTGCCCTGAGTGTAATGAAAAGTATTGCTTGTTAACGTACATGCTCTGGTAATGTTCAGGATTACAACATGCTTTTTCCAATAAACAAAATGACTAGGAGAAAGCGCTCAAAAGCGGCGGTCTCCAGGAACAACTAAGGGCTGTCTAAAGGACCCTAGAACGGACGGAGTATCATGATCTTCCGGCCCCAACGTGGGTGCGACCCGCAACTACGACTCTGCATTTCATTAGAACCCGAATAAAGTTTGTTGACTGACTGACTATGTACATTGTCTGGGTAAAATTTTCTCACTTGCCATGTCAAGCTTTTCGCCTCCTGAGAATGTATAGTGTTCGGCATTTTATTGACAAATAGTTCAGCAGGCCCAGCATATGAAGTCGATGTCTTTCACGACATGGTAAGTTGCAGCAACTGCTGGGCGGCGTCGCCACTTCTTTTATTTTCGTGTGCCTTCTGGCTTAATTCTAATACGCGTCAAGATCGGTGCCTTTCGTGTTGTGAAAGGAGGCTTACTTAGAAATGAGCGATATATAATATATATATATATATATATATATATATATATATATATATATATATATTGCGGCCTTAACTGAGAACACCTGACGCTGTTCATTGGCACTCGCATCATTAACTTTCACAAAAGCTGCGTAACGTTATCACGCTCAAACTGCCTGCCCTGTTCAATGCCAAGTACATATTGGTGTATAAAAAAGCGCCTTCGTTGTATTTTTTTTCTAGACAACTTGGTTCTGGTTATTTTCAGGACGCGGGTGTTCCGGTCGACGAAATGGCCCCGCAAGTTGTCACGGACGCATGTACTGTCAGCATCACCAGCGACGACTATAGCGACTCTGCGTGTGGCCTCCCAGTACTGAAAGGCGGGAAGTGCGAGTATGTATTGCTATGCTAGTTAATTGTTTCACCACTCAACAGTATACTCTTCAGTAGTCATGTTGACGAATTGTTTGTTTTCGCGTAGGTTCCGCTAAAGAAATGTTTGTTATCACGAGAGCCGCTTTCGGAATGCAAACCAACCCGCATACATCGGCCTTGAAAAAATATTGGTTTGATATATCACATGATTCGATATAAAAGATTGTTTTCAGTAATTACCATGTTTCTGGTATGCAAGTTGATTTTACAGCACTGCTGTATGACAGTGCAAAGAAGGCGGCTTCTGAAAAATGCATTACGATGTTTTTTACTTTTTTGGGGGGGGGGATTGTAGATGGGGTTGCGGGTTTTAGGCAAGAAAATGCGGTACTGATATAACAAGCGTAATCTTCAAAATATTACTTTCATACTTTCTAAATTCATCCACCGAAGGTACATATCCTTTGGTTCGTCTATCCTTTGGACTCGGGTCGCTTTTGGCTTTTTAGTGGCGAAGCTCCTTATGGCGTGGCTTGTGCGTCCCTCGTTGTAGTGCGTAACCACTGGTGGCACATACCCGAAAAGTGGTTCTTAGAATGTCCGCTGGGTGGCGGTACTTGTATATGTTGAATGCTTGATGAAAAAGATGTGATATGGTGGTACTTGAAGTGTTTGCTAGATAGACGGACGGACGGATGGACATACAGATGGACGGATGGACATACAGATGGACGGATGGACATACAGATGGACGGACAGACAGACAAACATAGGGGGCGGACGCACGGACAAACAGACGGATGGACAGACAGGGGGACGGCCACACGAATAGACGTGCGGACGAACTTATGTATGGACGGATGCACCGATGATCACATGGATGGACGGACGCACAGACGGACGCACAGACAGACGCACAGACGGACGCGCGCAAGCAAGAATGAATGGACGGACGGAAGCACGGAAGGACTGACGAACGCTTCGCCCCACCAATCATCATTGATTCCGTGGATATGCTGCGATTCCTTTTTTTTTTTGCGAAACAAACGGATACAGTGCACGGGGCCTGTGGGCATCGTGAAAGAAATGATGTCATGACAAGCGCTTCGCGCGACGCACTCCTCATACCATCGCACGCGTTCCCAAATGCGTGAGGGAAAGTCCCCTTTCTTGAGTAAAAGTGATCAGTTTTTGAAGGAAAGCAAACTTTTCGGGGCGTCTCGCTCTGTTAGATGTTCTTTTTTATGAAACATTCCAGATATTTTCAGTGCAGAGCGCTTTAGGGGGCCGGGCTGTCGTATTCTCCTGTCGTCGCTTGGCGTAGCGCTTCATGGGTAGCATATTGGGCGCGCTCGCGCCAAGGTTCATCGAGCGCCTTGATCATCACTTATGGGCAAAACTACTAAATAAAGAAAATGAAAAGACAAAGGAAACAGCGAGAAAGGTAGCAAATAAAGAGGAAGAAATAGAAATAAAGAGAACAAGAGACAGAAAATACGGAAGAGGAAAACAAGAGGAAATAAAGGAAAAACCGAGGAGAAGCAAAAAAGACTGGTCAGCTCTGCACCTCCTGCATGCTTGACTCGAAAGCTACCGTAATTGTTTGTTCAATGTAGCCGTATATTTTCCTTTGTGTGGAAGTTGAAGCACGATCGTCTTCATCTTCAGAAGTAGTTCAGTATAAAAAAATAATTCGATTCATCTGAGTTTGGTAGCGGGGTAATTTTACTGTACTACGCAACTCGGGTACGTGATCACAAAATTGTGGCGCGTGTGCGAGACTATGCCAAGCCTGTTCGTGCCTGGCTACTTGTTCAGGATATTTATGCCGTAGTACATTCGTGTACAATATATCGAAGCAAGTTCCTTGACTCGGAACATTAAATAGATCACGATCGACTCTTTCGTGCTAGTCTGCCTACAAATTATTTCACTAGGATTTTTTTATAACTTCTGCAATTTTTTATAATGATTAGTGCGATAGCACTGACACCAAAGAAGCAGGCGTTGAACTTCTTATACTCTTCATAAGAGAAATCTATGTGACACGCTTGAAGTCGCAATGTTGCTAAACAGGTGAGCATTGCTACGAAACAGACAGGAGAGGAACTGGCACATGTATTCTTTTCGCTGATTGTCCGTAGATATTGAACAAACGCTTCAAGCTGTCATTGAATGATACGATAATGTAAAGTATTCGGACAAAATAGTTTTATTGAAACGAATGATTTCGTGGTTTTGAAGAAAAAATAATCTAAATCGTAATCAGTATGGAGCTTCATGCGCCTATTGTTAGAACTTTCTTTCAGAAAATGGACTACTTGCATCAAATGGAAACAATGAAACATAAGCATGCGCAAGCAGGACATTGCCCGTATGTGCGGAGCTCAACCAATGTACCATTTTTTTTGCGTTGCATCATTGTTGATTGATATGTGGGGTTTAACGCCCCAAAACCACCATAAGATTGAGAGACGCCGTAGTGGAGGGTTTGGGAAATTTCGACCACCCGAGGTTCTTAACGTGCACGCAAATCAGTACACGGGCCCTCAGCATTTTCGCCATCTTGAACTTAACAGCGCAACACTTGAAACACAGAACAGGGAAGGGGCAAAAAAAAAAAAAAAGAAAAGACGGCGCTTTTTTTTTGCTCCTTCTCTGTCCTGTTTCAAGTGTTGCGCTGTTAAGTTCATGATGGATTCCAACCAACTGCATTTTCTTAAGTGCATTTTCACCGCCATCGAAAATACAGCCACCGCAGCTGGGATTTGATCCCACGACCTGCGAGTCAGCAGAAGAGTACCTTAACCACTAGACCACCGCGGTGGCCCCGCCACGGTGGTCTAGTGGCTAAGGTACTCGGCTACTGACCTGCAGGTCGCGGGTTCAAATCCCGGCTGCGGCGACTGCATTTCCGATGGAGGCGGAAATGTCGTAGGCCCGTGTGCTCAGATTTGGGTGCACGTTAAAGAACCCCAGGTGGTCAAAATTTCCGGAGCCCTCCACTACGGCGTCTCTCATAATCATATGGTGGTTTTGGGAGGTTAAACCCCACATATCAATCAGACCACCGCGGTGGGGCAGTGCTGTACCAGTAAGCATGCATCCTTGTGCAGTGCTCGACGATTGCAACGAGATTTTCAAACAGCGTGGCTGCTGGCAGTTAGGGGGAGGGCATCTGTGACGCATGGTGACTGCGTACGGTAAACACGGGTTCAGTTTGTGGTTCTCAGTTTATGGTACCCAGCTCCAGGTGCTTCGCACGGCACGTGAGTGCAGTACTTTGGAGCCACGCCAATCAGTACTTTGCCGGCGCTACGAAAGACCACAGACTTGAGACAGAGTGAATGTTTACCAGATGCGAAGGGGATCGGGTATATTACATATACAAATACCTCATGCTGTAATCCTACATAATGTGCGCTCTGCCTGATCTTTCACATGAAACTCGGCGACGTGTAGTAATGCCTCTTTTTGAAATTAAATGTGCCTCGTCAGTTCATTCTGTGCTTGCCTTGTTTCTCTGAACAGGAAGCATTACAAGGAGATTCTGTGTGACTTGATTTACCGCCATCGTGTGGATGTTCTGAACCTTTTCAACCAAGACAAGCTAGAAAATGAACTTAAGAAACACAAGAAAGACATGCCACAGCTTTCCTCGGATCTTAGCCCTGACGAAAAATTAATCCGCCTCTGCGAGGTAAGTCACCTGACCAACGGCAATGCCTCAAGGAAAGGCTCGAATTTACTACTCTGATTATTTCTGTGAAACATGGCTAAAACGACTGCTGTGCTGCGGTCTCGCCTTGCTTTACTTTTATTATAAATGAATGAATGACTAAGAATGGTTTTGGTTGTTATTACTGTAAACTGGGGAAAATGAAGGTTACCGACAACGTGGACTTAGATTATTTTATGTGAAAATGCACACAAAATAAACACCTCGTGCGCATTTATTGTAATTTCAAGCTTAAAGTGGTCTTGAGACATCGAAAGGCATGTTAGCGACCACATACCCAGTTATCTCAACATCAAAGACTTCGGCAGTGGTCAACGGCCGAAAAATATCCAGAGGATCGATTTTTCCGCATTCACAACCAAAATTGAAGACGCATTTACAAATAGCTTATCCTCTAGCATTGTGCAATCGATTAAAAAAAAACAGCGCAGAGTGTGATCCGCCCGCTTACATGCTCTTCAAGGCCTTCAGAAACACATGTGGAGTGAGTGACTTCGCGTGATCCGTCGACGAGCAGAGCGCAGATATCTGCGCACAAAGCCCATTGAAGATCTAGGGATAGCCAGGCACATGCAAAAGAAGATCCAGCGTCATATGAACGAACTGGAGTTCCAATGTTGGGTGAAATTTGGCGATTATTTTTACCCTCGCTAATCATTATATCAAATATGGCAAACTGTGCAAGACCTACACACTTGTTTCAAACAATGTTTTCCGTTTAAAGTCTTGGCACTTTTCCAACGTACAAAAAACATTGAGGTAGCGCAAGACTTTTGTAGAAACACTGCAGGTCTATCAACTTGAACAGTCTCCACTGTGCTAACACACCACACTCTCTTGACCCGTGCATGCATCTACCTTTTTCTATGGATGAGCTGGATGTGGCTCTTGCCTCTTGTAATCGATCGTCGTCGCCCGGGTCAGATGGAATATACCTCCTATTCTGTAGCCTCGGTGATCACGCACGTAGTACTTTGCTTGACGGGTTCAATGAGCCTTGATGAGCTTGAGCTGCTCCCAGAGAACTGGGTACAAACCTTTCGGTCCCCTTTTTCAAACCTGGAAAATCACCTCAAGCTGACGTCATACCGCCCAATAGCGCTGGCCAGTTGCGTAGGCAAGCCGATGGAGTGAATGATTCTTGCCAGGCTCGAGTAGTTCATAGAAAGCTACGCAGTGTATCCAGATGCCATGGACGGATTTCGTCGTTTTTGTACCTCTATTGACAACGTCATTGACTTGGTGACATACGTACAACACCAAAAAATGAATGGGTGGCTTTTTGTAGCATTATTTTTGGATATCAAAGGAGCATAACATAACGTCTCTCACGAAGCCATACTTGACGCCTTTGAGTCGGTTGGTTTGGGAGGGCGAGTGTACCGCTGGATCTGCTGCTACCTCCATATGAGAGCATTGTTTGTGCAAACTGATGATGGGCCAACGTCTGAGCATTACATACGACGTGGTGTTCCTTAAGGTGGTGTATGGAGCCCCACACTATTCAGTCTTATTATGATCGGCCTCGTGGAAAGCATTCCAGTCTGTGCAGAGGTCATGCAGACGACATTTCTGTCTGGACGTCAGGTGTAACACTTCCGAAGGTACGTGCAAGACTTCGGAAAGCAGCGAACTTTATTTCGGTGTACCTTACAGAACAAAACTTCGAGATTTCTACAGAGAAATCGGCGCTGGTTGCGTTCACGCGGAAAGCAACGACTTCATATCCTCTCACCATTAATGGACAAACTGTCTACTACACTTGAACACACAGGTTCTTGGGAGTCGCCATTGATCAGAGAGATATATAGAGAAAAAGGAAGGTCGGAAGAATAACCAGATGTTGGCATCTGCTTTGCTACCCAGCACTTGGGTTGGGAAAATAGGGGCAAGAAAGAGGGGGTAGAGAGAGAGGAAAAAAACGCACGTTCACGGACGAGAAAACGAAAACGCACAGGTAGGGCGTTCTGCCTACAACCGTTTAGAAAGGCCGGTCAATTGCACAAAGTGCAGTAGCGCTTTCAGGGCCTTCTTCTGTGAAGTTGTATCTTGTCGATATTGTAAAATTGTTAAACTCTAGGCAGTCATAAAGGATATGTTGGGTGGTTCGTCTTTGCCACAGTGGCCACAGGCTGTGGTGTCGGCCATGCCAATGTGGAAGCGTAGGCGTTGGTAAACGCAACACCCAACCACAGCCTGCATAAAAGGGTCTGGTATGCTCGGCAAAGCCTCGACGGGGCTTGAAAACTTAACGTAGGGTCAGGCGAGTGCAGTCGGGCATGCTTTATGTGCGGCTCATTCCATTTTGACGTTGTTTGCTGGCGAGCAAGCCAGTGGTACTTTCGTGCAGCATCTGTCCTAGAAAGAGGTAGTAGCTGACCAGGTCTATTACGGTATCAATTGATGATCGCCCACGGCGAAAACCCGTCACAGCGTCTGGGTAGATGTGATGCTCCAGGTACCATTCTATCCGTCCTAGTACCATCCTCTCTATCACTTTGCCCAAGTAACTAGCCAGTGGCCACTCTAAAGAAGCGCCTAACAGCCATCTCCCAACTTTTCTAATTCCTCTGAGGAAAGAAGTGGGGCACGTCAGTGCACACGATGTTGCAGCTATACAGGAAGTTTTTTCTGGGGTACTTGTGGTACAGCTTGCTAGTTATGACAAACGCCTGCGAAAGTATTGTGCGCACAATCGAAAACGCCCAGGGCCAGGCACTCAGATTTTGTCTTAAACTGCCACGCTGCACATCCACAGCGGAGACCATCAAAGTCGCAAAATATTCCGCCACGGTGCATAATACTCTGGAGGTGCTTTGAGCGCATATTAGGCACCTTGCTTGTGCCCTTGCCCACCACCTCGCTTCGCTTCCAGAAGAGCAACCCAGTGCCTCATTTCGTAAGAGAAGATTGAGTTACCATCAGTGCCTTATACCCAGATAACAATTCTACCGCTGTATTGAGGATGACGTCAAGCTTTAGCAGCAAGATAAGCTTGGCAAAGTATAGCTAAACATGGCAGCAGAGTTAGTTGAGGAGTACTACACTCGCCAAAACTTGCACAGTAGGGCAGTCCACGTTGAAAAGAGTGCAATAAAGCGGCAGTTTTGCCAAAAGTGTTTCTATCGCATTCAATGCGATAGAAACATATTTCAATGATTCACGACGCAAAACTAGGATGTTTAGGAGCAATATTAGTTGTAGTAAACATTGGCTTGCAAAGTAACCATGTTTCCCATGGCGCATCCACAGTAGATGACCATAACGAGACTCGTGCGTAGTGACAGCGTTGATAAGTGCCTCCCGTAGGCAGCGCATGCTGGTACTAAGAGCTATACGTCGTGCATCGCCGCTGGTGGTAGTTTATGTGTATAGCACGTATATGTGGACGCCACGCCAGGTACACTTTTGGCACCGTTTTTAAATGCGAAGAAGTTTCTTAGTCGGGCTATGTCTGGTATCCAGTGGCGGCGTCCGCAGCGGCCGCCGCGCGCCGGTAGGTGTTCTTTCCGCTCTCACTCCCTCTCTCATGGCAACAGCTGCGGGCGCGCACGCTTATCCACACCCCTAGCAAGAGAAGCATGTGTTGCAAGAGTGTAGAAGAGGATAGTTGTAGTAATTCGCCACTTCTTTTCTCGCTTTTCACTCTCTCTTCTCCCTGCGCCCCACTCTTCCGTCCACTCGCACCTCACTCTTTACCGTTAGCTGGCTGGGCGCCCCTCAAGAACATCTCGAAATGTGTGGTCGAGACGTTACTGTGAAACGCCAACGCAGGGCCGAGAATGCTGGCGGCCCATTCTCACGTCCGCACGCTCCTCACTCTAGACCATTCGCTGGCTGATCACCTCTCAAGATGATGGCAGAAGTCGGCGAATGTCTGACGGCAACGAGGACCTCTCTCGGCGCAATAAATGCATTCACATTTCCTTACGATTCCTTTCGGGGAGGTGGGAGCATTTTTTTTTCGTGTTGATAGCGCAGCCCGTAGCAGCTCTGATCTGCTGTGGGGGCAAGAGCCACGCGGTGATCTTTGCCGCGATAGCGCTGCAACTATAAGCCCCCCCCCCTTCTTCCCATATATATATATATATATATATATATATATATATATATATATATATATATATATGTGTGTGTGTGTGTGATGGTGGCGGCGATGGCAAAAACCCGCCTACGAGACGAGACTGTCCATATATTTTCTATCGCAATAAAAAATAGGCAGATCGCACATACAGTAGGAGCCGATGATGCGCGAAGCACGAATGAAGGAGGTTGATATGTCACTTCAAATCACCACAACGTTACGAGGTGCATGAATGTAGTACACAGTAAGCACAAGTGAAAGTTACGTGCACTCGGTATCTGGATACAAGACAAGTATGCTGTTTAAAGTCGCGTAACCACGGCACCACTAACGTTTTCAATACCCGCGCTTGCAGTGGTAGGCATGTAAGTTATGCCGTGTATAAATTTATTTAGCGATTATCATGTTTGCGCCGGGCGTTTGCGTTCGTCGTCCATTCACATCATGTGATACCAAATTTGATATATGAGGAGCTAGCGAAACGGCTGCGAGCGTGCTATGAGCGTAGCATGTAGTCATGTCTCACATTATATGCATTTCACAATTATCATGTTTGCACGAGTCATTTCACCATCCATTCACGCCACGTAATACCGAATTTGGTATATGGGAAGCTAGAAAAACGACCGCGAGCGCATCATGAGCGTGGTACGTAGGCATGTTCTTACATGACACGCATGTCATGATATTCATGTTTGCACCTGTGATATACATTCGTCATTCGTTCACGTCATATGATACCAAACGTGGTATACGTGAAGCTAGCTAAACGGCCGTGAGCGCATCATGAGCGTAGCATGTAGTCATGTTTCTGATGATACGCATGCCACGATCATAATATTTGTAGAAGTAATTCACCTTCGCAATCCATTCACCT